CCTTGGCTTTGTTCTCGGTTGTGCTGCAAATGCTGCAACACATTCGACGTTTGGATTTTTGGATGTTGCCCAAAAATGTGTCACAAGAAACAGTTCCAAAACCGCCAGGAAGAGTTGAGGGAAAATCGGCAGATTGTGATGCCCAAGAAGCTTCAGGCGAGTCTTTCAGATGTGGGATTTTTCGATACCCTGGTATCTTAGAAAATGGGACATGACCCTATAACAACAGGTACTTGTACCCATTTTCCGAGGTGCAAACTGAGACTCCAGGTAGTTGTAAATTGGATTCTTAGGTGCCCCCAGCTTGTCCGACCTTGGCCTTGTGGATGAGATGTGCCTTAGTGGCTGTGAAAGGGATAACACAACATCCAAGTTCTGAAAGATATAACAATGTGAGCAGTGCAGCAGTGGCCAAAACCTTGAGGTTTTTCGGGGTTAAATAGTTCTATTCGACCAACTCTACCATCATGTCAACCCAGCTAAAATTGACTCCCTATCATCACGTTTGTGGAATGCTTTCGACATCAACGCGACCTGGAAAGACTTTGTCGTTTGGTTCGACTCTGAAGGGGAGGAACCTTCAATGACTTGGACTTCACGCTCCCCGACCCAAAAAGAGTCATGGTGTTCGTGGAGTGAACACTAACCCGTTACCGTTTGGTGTGAGGATGTGCATCGTGCAGAGATGTACTGAACATGATCCCAGGTTCATTTGAGGAACTGAACTGAGATCCAAGAAGTGCACCACCAGGATCACGGGGAACGGAACCCTCTGGAAACCAGAAGAACGGGGCACTGAAGATCGAGGAAGGTCGTTGTTTTTTCACCAAAATTGCATTGTTTTGGTATGTTTTGTTCAGGTTGCTGTTCCCTGAGGCACTATATGTAGCACCATCTAGCACCCCATCAAAGGGAAATGCATCATCAGGGCCGGCTTGCTGGGACGTCACAGATAGACTCTAGACGATTGGTCTTGAAGGTGTCCGACTCGCCCATGTTTCGACCTCGGTTCGTCGACCAGTCTGACCTCAGCCCGAGACCGGGTGGCCGAGTCGCCCAGGCGGGGCGATAGCAACAGTTCCTTCGTCGAGTCGATCGGTGCTGACCAGCACCGACTTCACAGGTCACCAATTGAAACCTGTTAGGGCCTAACACCCCTCCAAAGGAGACCTGTTGGAAGGTGCTGGTAGATGAGACCGTGCGCTCTCTTCCAGGCCATTCCATATTGCCATCCAGCAGTGATTCCTGCGCAGTGATGATACCGTGCTTCCAGCTTCGGGTGGACAGTGTGGGCCAACGTTCAAAGGGGTCCAAAGTTTTTGGGGTGTTTCTATAGATGTTTCTTGCCGATTCGACATACAAGGAATCCGTGCGCGACATGATGGCCTTCTTTTGAAGCTTTTGGAGTGAAAAGGCGCTGCCAAATAACAGCGAACGAACAGTTTGCCTTCTCAAAGCCAGGCAGAGCCTGCAGAGCTGGTGGCGAGCACAGTGTATCAAGTAACCGTCCTTTTGACATGGTATACTACCTGGATCTGCTTGGATCATCCGATGGCGTCTACCAGGATATCAGTATAGAACGACTCTACACGACCTATGGACCTCCATGAATGGACACCCAGAACGGATGATCCTGGTCAATAATTCGTCATCAAAGTATGTCTATCACGAAAGGTAGCCCTTTAGGGGATACCTTGAGTTTGTCTTGCGAAGCAAGTGTTGGGACGTCCGGGTCTAATAATTGATCGCTCAATTCAGACCCCCCCCCCCTCTAGAATCAATTCTCTCCTGGAGAACGTCTTCGTGAGCCTCTCATGATTTCAGGATTGTTGAAACCCTCTTGAACATTTAGAAAGAGTGAATATGAAATTCTAATCACGAAAGGTGTTCCCCGAGGGGATACGTTTTGTGAAGCACGTCAATTCTCTCCTGGGGAGCGTCTTCGTGAGCCTCTTATGGTTTCAGGATAGTTCAAATCCTATGATGTTCCGATTCAATGCTCACCGATGATCTGAGCCATGGGGCAAGTTTGTTTTCCTAAGAATCTTTTTGAACATTTCGAGAGCACATGTTTGAACATTTAAAGTGCATATGAACATATATTTACGAAAGGTCGCCTCCGAGGGGATAAATCACCATGTCGAACATTGCATTTTTGTTCCTGCCTCTCGCGTTCTCTTCTCTTCCCGCTGTCCTACCTTTCGTGTCTCCCTCCTCTCAAGTACGCTACTTAGCTACTTGAACCTGATCAAGTCACGAAAGGTAGCCCTTTAGGGGATACCTTGAGTTTGTCTTGCGAAGCAAGTGTTGGGACGTCCGGGTCTAATAATTGATCGCTCAATTCAGACCCCCCCCCC